ATAGAGACTTACCTGTAGAAGCAGTCCAAAAAAGTTCTTCAGAGTGTACAGATAGTCCAGTAGTAGAAAATGCAAAAACTCTATTTTTTAAATGAAACCTTTTATCTGTTCTACAATGGATTCTATACTAAAAAAATGGGGGCAATGTTTACTTATATCCAAAGATTATATTATATGATTTCAAAACTTTTAAATGATTTCTACCGTCAGCCATTTATTGATTGGTATCGGCTGCCTTAGTTATCATGGATACAATAAACAAAATAATCCATGAATCCATGGCCTTCTATTTAGAAACAGTAAAAAATACGGTTTTTAAGATTTTCATGGCTATAGTTAAAGGAAATATAGGTTGTGATACATCAATGCAATCAGGAAAAGAAATACAAAAAAGTTAAGATATACAGGGTGTTGCATTTAAAAAATACTAAGTTTAGGTCAAAAAGTTTTTTTACTGCGCCACTGGAATAGGGATCTTTTTTCTATCTTACATGGGTAGTAACATATGATAACATACCAAAAAATCAAACTTTTCGTTTTCACCCTGTATATCAGAAACAAACGTAACTGGACTCATTCTCCGTTTAGTTCCTAATGCAGATAGTGTTGCTGTGAAGAGTCAATGTTTTCCAAACTCTCCTTTTTTATCGTATTTTTGCAAATTTATTTGTAAAAAGGCAGCTTTTAATCTCACTTCGGCCGGCTGGGTGACTGGCTGGCAGCAAATGTGGGCTCGTAGAAGAACGCTTGTGGAACGAGAAGGAGTGTACAATTATTGTACATGTACCTACCAGGACTGTGTAATTAACAACTTTAGAGACAGGGCTTTATGATCTAGGGTCAGCGACATCTGGGCGCCATCCCCGAGTGTTATACTAATGTGGTGATTTTTCAGTGTTTTCTTATCTTCTACAGTTTTGGTCCGATTGTTTTCAAATTGGTGTCGTTGAAAGATCTTGTAAACGCGCCCAACTCCTACATGACGACATTTGGTTTTTTTCGTAGAGGCGAAATAAACCACATTTTGCAAGGCGCATGTCTTTGAGGGGTAATCGGGGGAGGGGATATAGTATTATGTGCACTTAAACGATGGTTTGTGGACCCTGAGAATATCAATCAAGTGCCACAAAAATTACATCCCTTACAATAGACGAATCGTTATGTAAAAATGTATATTAAACAATCCTCATTCCCCTTTAGTTTTAAAGTCGTTTTTAAACAGGCACCATGGCACCTCCTCGACTTATCAGGAATCATTTATGTACCTCACACAACTTCATGGGTAGTTACCGTTAATTTTAGAGCACGAGCTGTATCATAATTAGATAGAAGAGGAAATTATATGTATTAATCGAGAATGTGGAATAATTATAACCCAAAATAGAGGTAAAAAGCTTATTAGAGGTTCATTACTGCTCACATACCAACCTATCAGGGCGGTGCCGTCTTTTAGCAACGGAATAACAAGAGAGAAAATCCAAAGTAGAATAATCTTCAATTAGACCAGATTGTTCTGTTACCAACATTGCAATGCAATTTCATTTGATGTTAATATAAATTCAATTATACAAGTTTAGAATTACAAAGCTTTGTTTCGTTCACCGTCTAAATAATTTGCTTCAATAAAGGGAACTTATTTGCAGAAAACCCTGTTAATCCTTACGTCTCTAAGAAAGGATAACGTAATCAGATTTGTGACACCATTCTTCGGACGAACTTCTTAACGTGTAAATACGAAAAATGTGCCGAAATTCAATTAACTAACACAAATTGAAATACCTACCCTTACCGCCTTCATTCTTTTCTTATACCCTCGAATTAGATTTAACGCAATTCACAGTAAACGTTATAATTGAAACTGAACGTTATAGATATAGTCCAATTTTACGCAAAGGTTGGATTTCCAAATAGGGAAACAATAGCAGGGTTTTATTTAATGAGATCGCCTCCAAACAACTTTCTTTTGTAATGCACGTCTCGTTTTTTGTACCGAGTATGGAAATGAAGGCGACGTAATATTTTATGAAAAATATCGTAAAACCAATTCTATATTAATTATAGTCGTCCGTGAAACTTATTTAACAAATATCCTTTCGTTTCGTTTTCTAAAGAACTCGAAGCGACGACGTAAAATCGAAGCATTAAATTAAAACCGCTTTTATACTACCTATGTTAAGATGTAATTGATGTTTGGAAAGGAGGCCACGCTTGAAAAGGCGCCACGGAAGTATTACCTTTCCTTCTCTGAATTAACACTTGGAACTGACAAGGCTCCACAAGTACCATTACCAGCATAGACCATCGCTGAACTCGTACGGCAGGATGAGAGGTCACTGTCATTGACATTGACGAACATCAATTTCAAACTTGACCTAGCTCGAATTATTATTTACAACTCGGGATGTCACATAAATTCCATCGCTAATTAAGACGGGATGTACAAATTTGTTTGTTAGATGGATAATTAAAAGTTGGACGAAAGTAGGTTTTCGGCACGTAATGATCCTATACAATCTGCATCTACATTTTTGAACTGCTCCTCAAGGTTAAGGGATGGAAACTGGAAAGGGGGATGGACTGTGTTGTTTCCACTGCTGTGCAATTAAGCGCATTAGCCGAAAATTGTCATATACAAACTTCATCAGTTACTTCTCTTACTATAGGATGTGTGAGAGGTCCTATTCAAAGTAATTAGAATCCTAATTAATATCAGAACTGATCCGAAACCCAAACTTCTGCGGACTTTTCCCTCCTGAGCTATACCTGGTTAGTGAAGCATGAAATTTTCTTCAATTTTCATTAGGAATCCTTTCGGATTCTTTCATTTGTGTGGGTTTCTTCAAAATTTTCAGTTTCACTTTCTCTGGGTTTTTCAGGTTCTTCTATTTTTCTACAAGTTGCTCACACTGTTATGATTGCTTAGACTGTTATTCTTCAGATTCCCTACTTTCCTTAGATTCGTCGAACATATTCCACTAGTTCGAATTTTTCAGATTCCTTCAGGATCTTCAAATTATTATTTCGGAGACCAAATAATGGTAGGCATGGGCCGTACTAGGCACTGAAAAGGTTCGCTGAAGATCGGAAAGCGTTGAGAACTGCCAATTCTAAGGATTTATGACTTAAGAAAGGGAAAAGGGCCTGTTAGTGATTCATACCAGGGCTGATTATTTTGAAAAAAAATCCATGTCCTCGCTTCGTAGTAAATTAATTGTAAACTGTATCAATTGTGATAAATTTGTTTAGAAACGTGTCATTGGACATTATTTACTTACACTACCCATGTTTACAGTAATCATGTTAAAAAATGCTATTAAACGAGTGCATTTTGGGGCCCAATTGGGTAAATGTATCAACGTCCTCGTAATACCTTTTATAATTTTTTCTGTACTGTTAGATAAGAGATAAATATTACCAAATACTCAAACAATAAAGTAGATTTTTAATGTTTAACTTGATTGAAAACGTACAAATATTTGTAATTCTCATAACCTATAAAAACAATCAAACAAGTTCAAATACGCATTGGTATTGCGTATCATTAGATGAAATTACAATATTCCCACGATCATTTAAAGCCACTTCAAAGATTGAGTACGATCTTATCGGTTTCATTACGCATTCATGAAAAAATACGTGTTACTATTTACCATTGGAATTATTTTTATTTAGATAACGCCTATCTATACTTTTTGACACTTAGCATTGGTAAACATGGTTAGAGATCAGTGTAAATTAATTGTATTTGATGGTTACGATTATCGTCTCGTAGTACAAAGGTGAGAGGTTGGTAGAACAGATCGTCTCAGAAAAATTTGCGGCCCTTTAAGTATTTTCAACAAAATGAAGTCGATGGTACTCATTCTGGGCTGTGAATAAACGATTTGTGACAATGATTTGAATATGTCGAGCCTTTGGACCCTTCAACTGTTGCACAAGAGCCTGTTTGTTCGCCATGAGTTCTGCTGGAAATAGACCTAACCGATTCTATTTGCCTAACTTTGTAATGTTCAAAATTATATGACAAAAACTGGAGATCCAAAACACACACCATTCCCCATAAAACTTTAATTAATGTAAAATTCGATTATGGTGAGTAATAACATTTAAAGGCGTATGTTTAATATCACCATTAAACAGGAAAGGGCGCTGGCCAAATATTAGAGAAATAGTTAATTGGGAAAGAAAGTAGGATTAAGAAATAAAATTACATGGCATTATTTGTAAATGAGGACAATTTGCACACAACATTGACTAGGTTAGTTTTCAATTTGCAATTAACAGATTGCAATTAATTTGCCAATTGTTGTATAAAATTTTGTATATAAACAACGTAAAATGTAGAATAAATTACTATTGACACAAAAGTCGTTTAGTCACTCTACGTGAGCATGGGGCTTCCAAGTCTTTAAAATTCGGTGCATGAGACTGTGTACCACCCTGTGCTTACACTAAATAATATTGGGAGTAATCTCAATATTGTTCATGGTCCTTCGAGCCAACACCAGCGGCAGAAAATAAAAAGGTCCGTCAAGCCACCACCAGCGGCAGCAAAACCACTATTAGCAGTCAAGGATTTACGACCCTTGGACTTGAGCGAGAGGCACTGGGTAAGTGGAATTTTATTTTGACTAAAAAAAGTCAAGGGAAGCGGCGAAAAACAAAAGGATCCTACCTACTAACAAAAAGGCGATCAAGAGTCGCGTCGCTGATGCAGAAGAACGCCGGCGACAACAACTGGAGACTGATTCCTGTAGCAGGAAGGAGCAAACCATACAGCTTCAGTCCAACGTTAAGAGTCCGGGGGGACCCACGGATATCTGCGTGCGACAAACACAACGTTGCATTACAGAACAAGTTTTTGGAATTATTCGGGCCAGAACCAAATTTTCAGCATCCGACACAACAACTACTACTAAAAAAAAAAAAAAAGGGGAAAAACGGTTCTGAAGTAAGAGGGGGTGTTGGTTTGGATTCTGTTTTAGCTACCAGAAGTTCAAATGGAGCAATTAAACGAACTCGCACGGAAACAACAGGAGATTGGTCAACAAATGTGTAAAATGTTAGCCAATATGAAGAAAGACTCAGCCTCCAGGAAAACCAGCGAATATATTGTGAAACATGACCGACAGCTAGAAGCTTATCAGGAAGGTATCGAAAAAAATCATAACGAAATTATCGAATTACAGATACAAAATCATGAGTATCACAGTACAAAGTACAGAGATCAGCTGCAAAAGGTCTACGACAACACGATAAATTATCTACAACAGTTACAGAATCAGCAGAAGAAGGAAGAGGATATTGAAGAAATGGATAACGAACAGGAGCTCCGAATAAAAAAACAGGAGGTTCGTCTAAAACAATTTAGAGGGATATTGTTTCAAATGGAAGAGGAAATAATGGAGCAGAACTTAAGACGCTGCGAAACATTGTACACCAAAGCAGAGAAGAAGTGGGAAGTAATATCAGAGCTTGAAGTGGACATTCAAGCAAACGAGGTGAGCTTCTCTCATGAGTATTTTAGAAAGGATCCAGTCACGAAAATGGAATTCGAATACGATAACATACAAGAAAAATTAAAAATGCTCACCAAAAAGGCAAGTATAAAGGCGACAAACAACATCGAGCTGCCCAAAATAAAAATACCAACGTTCCGAAGTGGATATGACAATTGGGCTCCCTTCCACGATTTGTTCGAGAAATTAATACATTCCAACGAGAAGTTATCGAACGCGGAGAAGATGCACTATCTGAAGGGGCATGTGGACGGAGAAGCAGCAAGACTTATACAGCATCTAATGATCTCGGAACAAAATTACGTAACAGCATGGAAGATCCTTCAAAACAGGTATAATAACAAAAGATTAATGGTAAATACGTTATTAGATAGAATCCTGGAATTCTCGAAAATGGAAACAGCGAAGGCATCTCGATTGAAATGGCTTCACGATACCATACATGAGTGTCTGGAGACAATATCAAATCTGGGAATGGATACATCGTCATGGGGTCCAATGGTAATTAGAATCACCACAAAGAAATGGGACTCAGAAACCAACAGGCTATTTGAGCAGTCACTAAAACAACCAAATGAAATCCCAGCATTAGGAGAAGTGATGCAGTTCATGCAGACGAGGTTCCAGTCCTTGGAGGCATCGGGGTCAATGCAGAGCAAGGATGCGAGTCCTAGGTACACCTGGGGAAACACGTCCACCATATCATGCCATTACTGCCAACAGGAGCATCGACTTGAACAATGCCTTAAGTTCAAGGGGCTATCAATCAACGACAGAAACAAGGAAGTAAGAGAAAGAAAAATATGTTTTAGGTGTTTAAAACACAACAGCGAGGAAAAATGCTACTCAGCGTACAGGTGTGCAGAATGCGGTTATCCACATCACACTTTACTTCACCAACCGTACAAACCAATAGCAGAGCGGGCAACACAAGCAAGCACAAGAACATCACACACTACAGTATCTAAAAGGAATTGTCAAACCCAAAAGGAAAACCAGGAAGTACTACTAGCAACAGCGATAGTACAAGCACAAGACCTCACTGGCGTACAGCAATTATTAAGAGTACTAGTGGACCCTGGATCACAAGCCTCGTTCATCACAGAAAAGGCAGCACAGCAGTTGAAGCTACCACGACAAAAAGCGAATGCAAGGGTATCAGGAATAGGTGGTTATGATCACACTAACGCAAAAACCAAGATAACGGTTCAATTACATCCAAGACAACCAAGTGAGTATGAGTTAACAACAGAACTAATCATTCTCACAAAGATAACCGAAAATCTACCACTGGCGTCGTTTGAGATGAACAAAGATCCATGGAAGAATGTGCTGTTAGCTGATCCCACGCTGAATAACTCCGGACCAATTGACATACTACTGGGTGCCGAGGAATACGCAAAGATCATACTACCGGGAGTCATGAAAGAAGGAAAATTAGTGGGTCAACAAACCGAATTTGGGTGGGTGATATCCGGGCAAACAAAGCACGGTGTCAACCAAGGCTATCAAATACTGGGCATGGTATCAACAATGGAAGAAGAGACACAACTATCCAAATACTGGGAAATAGAAGAAGCGACCATGGCTAATGGGTTCAATCAAGAAGACAAGAAGTGCGAAGACCACTATAAGGCAAACACTACACGCAGCCCCGATGGAAGATACACAGTCAAGATTCCATTCAAGAAGAATTCGATCAAATGGGGGCGATCCAGACCACTAGCAATAGCCAGGTTGTTGCAACTGGAGAAAAAACTAGCAGCAAACGACAAGATGCGTGAAGAATACAACGCGTTTCTACAAGAATACCTGGATTTGGGTCACATGGAAATGGTACAGGCACACTCAATCGAGGGCACACGCTATTACATACCACACCAACCAGTGATAAAGGAATCCAGTACTACAACGAAGATGAGAGTGGTGTTTGATGCATCAGCCAAAACGACGACCAGCGGAAGTTTAAATGAGATGATGTATGTGGGACCGAGGTTGCAGCCAGACATAGCCGATATATTACTAAGATGGAGAAAACATCAATATGCGTTCACAGCAGATATTAAAAAGATGTACCGCCAAATAAGGATACATCAAGACGATCGCCAGTTCCAGACTATAGTATGGAGATTCGAACGTAATCAGCCGATACGCGAATACCAGCTCAACACAGTAACATATGGAACAGCGGCAGCTCCATACTTAGCCATAAAGACACTACAACAGTTAGCAGAAGACGAAAAAGAAGAGTATCCATACGCAGCACGAGTCACGCTACAAGACTTCTATGTGGACGACATTTTATCTGGTGCTAACAGCATACCTCAAGTAGTACAATTGCAAAAAGAATTAACCAATATGCTAAAAAAAGGAGGGTTCCAGCTACATAAATGGGCAGCCAATAAAGAAGAGATATTAACCACTATTCCCATGGAAGCTAGAGATCCTGCTGTAGCCGAGTTCAACAATGACGACCAGATCAAATCGTTGGGAATAAGATGGATACCAAACCAAGACATCTTTACGTTCAAATTCAAGGATGGCCAAGATAAACCAACCAAACGGAACATTTTGTCGGAAGTGGCCAAGATATTCGACCCTTTGGGTTGGCTGTCACCAATACTCCTAAATGCAAAATTACTCATACAAAGACTCTGGCTATCCAATACAGGCTGGGACGAAGAGGTGGCGGAATCAATCAAGATAGAATGGACAAACTTCAAAATCGATCTCAGTATGGTGGAATACTTACGGATACCTAGATGGATGCAGTACGATCAAGACCAAGAAAAAATAGAACTTCATGGGTTCTGTGATGCATCAGAAAAAGCGTATGGAGCAGTGGTGTACTCAAAAACAGGAAATGGGTGCATAAGTTTATTAATGTCAAAATCAAAAGTCGCCCCAGTACGAACCAGGCAAACGTTACCTAAATTGGAATTGTGTGCAGCAGTGCTACTAGCAAAGGTGCTAAAAAGAGTGACAGAAGCATTACAGATACCAAAAACAACAGTGTACGCGTGGACCGATTCCATGATCACACTCGCATGGATAAAAGGTGACGCAAACAAATGGAAAACCTTCGTGGGAAGTCGAGTGGCACAAATCACAAGCATGACCGCAAAAGAACAATGGAACCATGTGCGTACTAATGATAATCCTGCAGATCTGGTATCGCGAGGAACAACAACATCCAAATTAAAAAACAACACGTTATGGTGGAATGGACCCATATGGCTAAAAACAGATAAATGGAAACACAGTACAAGCGAATATCCTACAACAGAGGTAGAGAGCAAGAAAACTATGACAATAATAGTGAACAATAGGAACGAGCTAGCAGAAAGGTTTTCTTCACTAACACAACTAATTCGAGTGACAGCATACATCATTCGATTCATCAAGCATTGCAAAAAAATTACAGTAGCTGACGAACATTTAACAGTAGAAGAACTCAATACGGCATTAAAGAAACATATACAAGTAACACAACAGAATACATATCCAAGGGAAATACAAAAGTTAAGTAAGAAAGAACAAGTACACAAGGACAGCAAGTTAGAATCGCTCAATCCGTTTCAAGATGAAGACAGTTTACTTAGGGTAGGAGGGAGGTTACGCAATTCTTACTTATCATACAACGAAAAACATCCATACATTCTACCAGCAAACAGCCATCTAACACGACTACTGATTTTGGATGCACATCAAAAAACATTACATGGAGGTCTTCAAATAACATTAGCATATTTAAGAAGAAAATATTGGATTATCACCGGTAGAAGAACAGTTCGAGAAATCATCAACAAGTGCAATACATGCATAAGACATAAGGGACAAACATTACATCAAATAATGGGAGATCTGCCAGCATCCAGAATAACACCATCATCACCGTTCGAACATTGTGGAATTGACTATGCCGGTCCCATACAAGTAAGAGCATGGAAAGGCAGAGGCCATAAATCATACAAAGGATACATTGCAGTGTTTGTATGTCTAGCAACAAGAGCGATTCATTTAGAAGTTGTTAGTGACATAACATCGGAAACATTCATCGCGGCTTTCAGAAGATTTTCAGCAAGACGCGGTGGTTGCCAACACATATACAGCGACAACGGCACCAACTTCGTCGGAGCCAGCAATATGATACAGCAAGAAATTCAACAAATAGTACACAGTAGAGAAGTGCAAGAAACATCGGTGTCAACGGGAACTCAATGGCATTTCATTCCACCAGCAAGTCCACATATGGGAGGAATTTGGGAAAGTGGAGTTAAGTCCTTAAAACACCATTTAAGAAGAGTAATTGGGGAATCAACACTTACATATGAAGAATTAACTACATTAACTCATCAAATCGAAGCGTGCTTAAATTCAAGACCAATAGGAAAGTCCAACAGTGATGTAGTAGACGGAGGTACAACACTAACACCCGGTCACTTTCTAATAGGAAAACCAATAATAGAACCATTCGCGAAATCATCAGGTACAATAGAACTCAACTTAAGCAACAGATGGAAAATGGTACAAAACATGAAGAAACAATTCTGGAAAGCATGGACGACGGATTATTTGCATAATTTACAACAACGCTATAAATGGAAAACAAAAGAAGACAATCCAAAGATAATGTTGTCTACTATATCAAAATTTAAAGAGACAGAAAACCGCATCGAGAAGCAATTAGAGCGCTTCAACACTAAATTAAATGAAGCGATAAAAGCCATAAACCAGATGCAGAAATGGTATAAAACAATAGACGAAAACAGACTAAATATTCACATCTTAAGTACATATCAAACTAGCAGTGAATCTAGTAACAGAAGTACACAATCACTACAGCAAAATAAGAAACATCCACTACAACCAAGGGAACTTTCAAGAACTTATATCAGAAACCCACATCAGAAGTATTATTACATCGGCAGAGCAGAAATTACCAAGCATCCTCAAGATTTTACCACATCCAATAATCAAAGTAACTACAAAACAAACAGTGGAAGTGATTCATGTGTTCGGGTTTTTTCTGGTGGCAGAGATCACGGTATACGTGATTATGAAAGTCACCCCAATTCCTATAAAAATTGAAAATTCTACGTTTTGGACCTTAAATGTCAATGAAGAAATGCTAGCTGTGGACTACAACAATCAACTATATTTCGAAATATCAAATGAAGAATTCAAAGACTGCCTACAAACAAACAAACACAATTTTATATGTGCTCCCACTATGGTGAAGAAAATAGAAGAAAACAAAAATTGCATCATTGACGAAGTCTACAACAGAACAGAAATTAACCAATGCAATATACAACAACATGAGATTCAAGGATTAATTTGGAAGCAACTCTATGCCACCAATACTTGGATGTTCATCACTAATCAGTCCACACGTATCGCTATCTCCTGTAGTGGCGAACGACAGGAAATCACGATCAATGCCACTGGAATTATCAGGATTTCACAAGATTGCCTGTTGAAAACAAAGAAAAGTATACTCAATCCGAAACGGGATAAAAAGTTATCAGTACTAGGTAGCTACATAAAACAGTTTAACAAACCATATAATCATACAAGGTCAACTCAGCAAATAACCAAAGTAATAGAAGAATCAATATTCCATGCAGAAGACTCTTTTAAACAGCTAAAAGACGAAGAAGAAACTCTTAATGCAGATATTCGAAATATCAAATGGCGGTCCACAACATCACAGTCCATTATTACAAGCACGACAACTACCTTACTCATTGCAATTATCTTGGCACTCGTACTAGGAAGAAGATTCTACATCCAGCACAGAAACAAATCACATACCAAGGACAACGATCACGAAGCAGTTCAGTTAGAACCATTATATTCAACTATTCCCGGGGAAACACAAAACTAAAAGATAGATTAGGGCGCGGCTGGCAGAGTGTTTAATATCACCATTAAACAGGAAAGGGCGCTGGCCAAATATTAGAGAAATAGTTAATTGGGAAAGAAAGTAGGATTAAGAAATAAAATTACATTGCATTATTTGTACCTAAATGAGGACAATTTGCACACAACATTGACTAGGTTAGTTTTCAATTTGCAATTAACAGATTGCAATTAATTTGCCAATTGTTGTATAAAATTTTGTATATAAACAACGTAAAATGTAGAATAAATTACTATTGACACTAAAGTCGTTTAGTCACTCTACGTGAGCACGGGGCTTCCAAGTCTTTAAAATTCGGTGCATGAGACTGTGTACCACCCTGTGCTTACACTAAATAATATTGGGAGTAATCTCAGTATTATTGTTCAGCGTAAAACGCTTCTTTTATTAAAATTATACTTTATTGTATTGAATCCCGTTTTGTGAAAGGGTCTCAGTCAAATTTCTATGTGCACGATGCTACATTGAGTGCAAAGTTAGATAGGTCTATGGAACGCCATTGTATCTTTTAATAACTGAACACCCGGACTAAAAAAATTAACTATAATTGACGCAATGGTACTAAAATTTATAGAAATTTACTTTGTGTTAACAACAATTGCCTAGTTGAAATTAATAATTGCATATCTTCCAATAACAACTCGCAATAATTTCCTCTTTTACAATTTCAAATAACGGTTTTTGTGCGAGATTTCAAAAACCGTTATTGGAATGGCATATTTAACAATTTCAAATCGGCAGTCTTATTCATATATCACGATTTAGAAATAACGTGTTGAAAATTTTAATGTTCAAAAATTATCGATTTGATATTATTAAATAATCTTTAATATCACCTTCACGCTTTGTAATAAATTTCAATTTCAAGTTGAAATAAAAAATTCAATTCTCTATTTCAAACTCGTAACTTTGGAACGCACAATTTAATTTTTAATATCAACTCTGTGATATTGGTAATTCGATTTACTTATATGTCATGACATATAAAAAATTGTGGCGCCATCTATCGAGTGATGTCAAAAGTGAGGAGCGAACCTCAACCCAACTAATCACGTTTGATGTAATTACCGCGAAAATCTACTTTCAAGTGCTTATTTTATTACCCATATCGTTCATAAATACATTGTGCGAATAATATTGTCAAAAAAAATGTACAATTACGCGAAATGGAGATTTTAAATTCTGTTCCGATTATTAAACTTACTGTCGCTAGAGGGCAGGTCAATTTGCTATATGTGATTTAAAAATATCGCCTTGGTATTTTTAATTCTATTGCACAAATTACTAATTTCTACTTGGAATTTTTAAATACTTTGCGAAGTTCGCTATTTGACATATATAATTGTAATTCTTCAATTATGGTGTTAAGTTTGTTAATTCAAACGTATTTCATGATATCTACTTTGTATTTTAAAACAATTTTTAATTTCAAAACTATTATTATTTAGAGTTGAAATATTATTAAATTTCATTGATTCCTTTGGTTGGATGTTCAATCCACGACATAACGATAATTTTCAATTTCTTGTTTCAAGTAATATCCATCCCTATTAATTTATTCCTCCACAATGAAGAATTCATTGCTGAATGTTTACAAACTGTTTTTGATATCAAAAATTTTTATCTCATATTTAAAAATAAAAGCTATTTTCAACCATAGAATAATTTTCTATTTCATTTCTTAATTTTCAATAACGAAAATATGTTTTTAAAACTCATCAACCGATTTTTCAGTAACAGAAGTTATAATTTTGCATTCTGAACATTTAAAACGTACCTGAAATTTTCATTAAAGTCAATTAATAGGTATGCAGTTTCAAATAAAACGTTAGACGAGATTGGAAGAAGCACTTTCCATATTGACAATTGTAATTAACACAAAGGTTGTTATAGTTAAAAAATTTTAATATCCTATTGAAATATACAATTCACGAATTATATTTCTAAGTTTCATATCGTGTACAATGCAAAGTATTTCAAAATTTCAAGTAGAAATTAGTAATAGGCGATATTTTTAAATCACATATAGCAAATTGACCTGCCCTCTAGCGACAGTAAGTTTAATAATCGGAACAGAATTTAAAATCTCCATTTCGCGTAATTGTACATTTTTTTTTGGACAATATTATTCGCACAATGTATTTATGAACGATATGGGTAATAAAATAAGCACTTGAAAGTAGATTTTCGCGGTAATTACATCAAACGTGATTAGTTGGGTTGAGGTTCGCTCCTCACTTTTGACATCACTCGATAGATGGCGCCACAATTTTTTATATGTCATGACATATAAGTAAATCGAATTACCAATATCACAGAGTTGATATTAAAAATTAAATTGTGCGTTCCAAAGTTACGAGTTTGAAATAGAGAATTGAATTTTTTATTTCAACTTGAAATTGAAAATTATTACAAAGCGTGAAGGTGATATTAAAGATTATTTAATAATATCAAATCGATAATTTTTGAACATTAAAATTTTCAACACGTTATTTCTAAATCGTGATATATGAATAAGACTGCCGATTTGAAATTGTTAAATATGCCATTTCAATAACGGTTTTTGAAATCTCGCACAAAAACCGTTATTTGAAATTGTAAAAGGCGAAATTATTGCGAGTTGTTATTGGAAGATATGCAATTATTAATTTCAACTAGGCAATTGTTGTTAACACAAAGTAAATTTCTATAAATTTTAGTACTATTGCGTCAATTATAGTTAATTTTTTTAGCCCGGGTGTTCAGTTATTAAAAGATACAAGGGCGTTCCATATAGGTCCACGCTGTACCCATTTGATAATGTAAAAAATACCATAACTTAGCTTTCCGTTCATGATTTTGATATCCATATATTGATGTGCACATAAATAGCGAACAAAACAGGAGAGAGAGACAACAAAAACACGAAAGCACTCTTAATAAGATCCCTCTTTCAAGAACTGCCATCCATATCGGTCCACATGTATAAACATATACGTTTTTAATGACTACACGTGTTTAGATTGTACTTCTTAACAAACCCGGTAGTTAAAAGTTTTATTTCTTGTTATGATAGTTGTATTCTCTTTTATTGTTTATTAAGTTTAGCTTTACGAAGCGAAGTAGAACATATGGATAATTACGAATGACGAAAGCTACAAGCGAGCCAGATGCATTCGTCTTTTTGTACGATGCATGCGTTTTATGTTGCAATTAAAATCAATCCGGGGGTCCACGTGGCTTCAGTTCGGGTGACATTTACACGAAAGTAGACATAAATTAGGTCGTTTAAAATGTTTAGAGTGGATACTAACCTGAAAATATATTTCAACGCGGTAGTATCTTTTGCATAATAACGAAATAATGTACAGGATAAGATGGAAAGATAAAAGAGGGTTGTCTGGGTTGTTTTCTTTCACCATTATACTTCGTTTAGAGGAAACTATAGTAATGCTTCTTTATTTACTATACCCCGAAGAGTCATCGCAGTCGGTAGATAGCGAAGTGATAATTTATACGAAGCTTGATAAAAGTACAAAATGCATTCTGGATTGTGTTTGCTACAGGAGGGATAATATACGGCGGAATGGTTTCTTTAAAGTCCAGTTATGACCTCTTCGTATGATGCATTTACTCTTTGTGGTACTTTATCACCCTATATCTGAGAGAACTTTGTCATATGTTATTGAAAACGAAAATCAGCCACTTTTCAAAGTATATTTCCTTTCACAAATCAGCATATGAAATTTTGTAGGAAAACCTAAGAAGGAAGCCTGTGAAACTGGGCACTCTAATTAAAAGCACTCGTCGAGAACGTTGCGTATCGCTAATGCTTCTTAGGGCTTTAGATCTTGCATCAGCAGAACAGCCAGTTTCCGCGAAAACGACTCATCCCTTGTGCATTGATGGCTTATGGCTTCTTACCTTTGGGAAAGTATGTAACAGGAGCTTTTTAATGGAGGTTGATTTTTTTCTCCAAATTTGATTGTAGAGTTTGAAAGTTCCATTTCACTAGGAGTGTGCGCAGTGTTATCAGTTTGTCAGTGGTTGTGACAATTTCAAAATTTTTTATAAATTCAAATTTGTGGAGAATTTTGTAAAGCGGTAGCCCGGTAACGAGTACGGGAAATCGTTGGCGCCAATCTCACGGTATTTCATAAGTTTATCTTAATTATAGTTTTACGTGCTTAAGAACGAAAAATTAGGATAATTTCCGTGCTAGTGGAAATGCGATCTTGCACGAAAATCCAAAGGCGTAAGATTATGATTAATCCGGGGGGTACGGCGACTCCAATTTGCTTTTAAAAAAGGTAGTTCACTTAATTACTATACGCCATTTTGAAGGGACGTTAATTAATTAAAAAAAAGGGGGTAGGGATTAATCCGGGAAATGTTTTTGAAGAGATTCGGTCTTCGACTAAGAGAGCACGTCGGCCACCGCCGAGCCAGAGCAAAGCCTTTGTTTTTTGGCATATAGAGTCAAATCATAACAAATTTCAGGTTCGAAGTACTAGGAAAATACGACAGAATCTGATCCGGTACCCGTAGTGTTATTTCGAGCAACAATTGGGTGATTCTTGTGAAACGAATATTATTCGTCCGAATGGAATCTGGGTCGAATTTGGATAGCCGTCGGATTTCTCAAAATTTCCGCAAAGATGGAAAACACAATAGAAAATTTTTCGGATACTGAATCGCGGGTGGTTTGTTATTATCTACCATATAACCACGAAAATTTCGTTACTTCTTGCAGTTGTTTAGTAGTTAAAATAACTTTAATGCTGTCAATGTTTCCCTAATCATTCAAACGAGTAATGTTTAAATAGAAAGGCTTCGTTTATTCGTAGATTACTGGGCGAACTTATCCTTCATTAAAAGAAAAGTCCGACCGAGATTATAATGGGTTCTATATTAAATTGTCACATTGAACTTTGCTAACATAATTACTACACGAAATATATGGTGGAACTGGTGATTATTTAAAT